CCAATGGATTATAAATGGTGGTCTGGGGTATGGTTCTGAGGGCTTTAAAAGACAAGAGAGGAAAGAGTCTCTTGCTCTCTCTGCTCCACCATTTTCACAATGTGATACTCTGCCATCACTGTCATCACCACCAAGGCTCTCACCAGATGTGTTCCCTGGACTTTGGACTTCAGCCTCCAAAACTGTAATCGATAAATTTTGCTTTCTTTACAAATTACCCAGTTCTGTGTATTTTGTTATAGTCAACAGAAATGAACTAATACAGGGCCTCAACATGAATTCTGAGGGAATGCTAACATTCAGTCCATAACACAGATCAATGGAGAAAAGAGGAAACGTTCAATTAAAAATGGTTATCCATATAGAAAAAGAGTAAATTGGACCACCATCTTACACCATAATTTAAAAATCAACTCCAAATGGATCTAAGACTAAAATGTCAAAAAAAAAAAAAAAATGCAAAATTTTAAAGCTCTTAGAAGAAAAGAAAGGTAAACATACTTTAGACCATAACCATAATTTAAAAATCAACTCCAAATGGATCTAAGACTAAAATGTCAAAAAAAAAAAAAAATGCAAAATTTTAAAGCTCTTAGAAGAAAAGAAAGGTAAACATACTTTAGACCATAAGGCAGAAATAGATTTCTTTAAAAAAGACATTGACTGTAAAATAAAGGACTGAAAATTTGAGAACTTTGATTCATCAATAGACATCTTAAAGATGTGGAAAGATAAGATACAAACCAGGAAAAGGTACTCACGATACACACACTAACAAGAATTAGTATCAAAATTATATTTAAAAAATGAAACTTAAAAATTTTAAAATATATAAAGAACTCCAAAGAAATGTAAACAAAAATAATAATAGAAAAATGGTAAAAGATGTGAACAGATATTTTACAGAAGAAACACATATAACCTACAGATACATGAAGAGATGTTCAACATCTTGTGCTGTAATCAGAGAAATGCAGAACAAAACCAGGATAAGGTATACACAGTTGTTTGGCAAAAATTAAAAAGCCTGACAACACCAAATATTGGAAAGGACATGGATCCAAGAGACCCAAGGCTTACATACTGCAAGTGAGAGCAAAAATCACGGCAAACACTTCGGAAAATAGTTGGGCATTACCTATTAAATTTAGATAATTTCATTTCTAAATAAATACTTGAGAGTTCCAGAATTTCTGTTCTTACTTATAGACCCAAAAGAAACTCTTGCACATTTACATCAGAAGATATATACAAGAAAATCTGTATTGACAGTACACACAAGAGCAAAAATCAGAAAACAATTCAAATGTCAATCAACTGCATCAATAAACTGTGGCATTTCATTCACAAAATGGGATATTTTACAGCAGCTGAAATAAATGAACTAGTGACACACAAGATTTTAACAATAAAGTATTAAGTGGGAAAAATGAGTGCCAAAGTATTACATACAGTATTTTACCATTACTACAAAATTTAAAACAACTAGATAAATATATATGGGTATACATATATCAATACACACACACACACACACACACACACATATGTATATATACTCATCCCCCTGTACCCATGGGGGATTGGTTCCAGGACTCCCATGTATACCAAAATCCATGGATGGTCAAGTCCCCTATATAAAATGGTGCAGTATTTGCATATAACCAATGCACATCCTCCCATATGTTTTAAATCATCTCTAGATTACTTATAATACCTAATAGAGTATAAATGCTATGTAAATAGTTGTTATATTGCATTGTTTAGGGAATAATGACAAGGGAAAAAAAGTCTGTACATGTTCAGTACAAATGCAAACTTTTCATTTTTTTCCCCAAATATTTTCTATCCACAGTTGGTTGAATCCATGGATGCAAAACCCACAGATATGGAGGATCAACACACACACACACGGAGAAATATGTATAATACAACGAAAGTATATTCAATAGAGCAAAGTATGATGCACATGAAATTAAGAATGATGATCATCTTCATTTGGTGGAGGTGAGGGAGAGGTATGAGAGACCATATAGTTAGATGTAGATTATTACCAAGGCCTTGGCATTTGGAGGAGGTGCTGTGTTCATGAATTCTTATATTATTTATATAGAAAACTGGATAGATAGATACTTTCAGAGATACATACCTAGATGATATTGGATAGGTAAGTGAAAAAATAAAGCAGGTCACATATGGACTAATGATAAGCATTTATCATAACTCAATTCTGTGAACCGGAAATCCAACAGGCTTTTTTTTTTAAGAGTATATGTGATAGAATATAAAGCATACAGAATCACCAATGAAGTATTCTTGCCAAAAATGTTTAACCTCAACCAAGCTTTTAGATGTTGTCTCGAGGATTGAAAGCCCAGCACCTGGGAACCTTCCTGGCCAGCAAAGCTGCAGGAACAGAACAGAATCAACATGGAGGAACAACACTTAGATGCAGAGCAAGGGTCTTATTGACGCGAATCAACTTTGATTCCAGACAGCAAAGTGAAGGGGGGAGGCGAAAATAAAATAGAAGCCAACAGTAGAAAAATAAAGACCTATGTATGCTAAAATCCAGTAAGGCACTCACCAAAACGTAGTAATGGCACTGCGGCAGGTTCCACTCAGAACTCAAAACTAACCCTGCCATGCTGCCTCTTCTTGATTAAATGCGTGCCTGAGTCTGAGAAGATCCCCATGGCTGGTGCTCAGGAGGAAGGAAAAGCATCTACTTTTCATGTGGATGAGCTTTGGAGGAAACAAACACCCAGACCATCAGATCATTGGAGAGAAACCAGATATCACTAGTGTATGAATACCCAGAGATCAAGACAGTAGATAAAAATGGTGTGTTAAATATTTTTATATAGATGAAACAAACACCCAGACCATCAGATCATTGGAGAGAAACCAGATATCACTAGTGTATGAATATCCAGAGATCAAGACAGTAGATAAAAATGGTGTGTTAAATATTTTTATATAGACAAATAATTTATCATAGTAATTTATAATAGAACATTCAAATTTCTTTAAACATATTATTTCAAGTTACTTTATTTTTGTTTGGAGCACAGATCTGAAATGGTACAAATTGTACCCAAACACTGAACCATGAGTTAAGCAAATAGAATGGGAAAAAAAAATTCTCCTGACTTATTTCCATTCCTTACTCCCACTCGCTCTTTCTTGTCTCATACTGTTTCTATTGAAGGCATTTAGTGAAACCTTTCATGGATGACATATGAGAAGAAAGTCTGCTAACAACAGAGCTAACTTAGATTAGTTCACAGGAGGCTGGCAGGGGGACTGTGGTCTCTGAAATGGTCCACTTCCTGCAGAAAGCCAGTCCCATTTTCTAGTCTGCTTTAATCCAGTCCTGCTTGGATGAAGCTCCACCCAGTAGGTTCTGACCATTCACGTATGGAATGTATAACTTAAATATATAAATAACTCAAAGATAAAGTAGAAAAATGGATTTCTTTTAAAGTAAAAGCAAATAAATGGAAAACCAGACATAGCTCTTGAACACACCAAGCATGACATTGAGCATCCCCTCCCCCAAATGTCCACAGCAGCCCTTATTTGTCAGCATCTCATTTCCCTGACCCTCTTCTTCTGGCACTATGGCTAGAGTTACCACAGGGGATTCATGGATAGCCGAAAGCTTAAGGAAACTGGAGGTTTCACACAGGATTTACATTCTGAGACACTGATAGACACATATGGTATGGACTATTATGAAGACTTCCTTTAACTTTACAGGCTGCTTAAAAACACTTATTATTGAGAGAGACCTTGCTGATCTCAGAGCAGCATGGAATGATGAGGCTTACTTTAGTGGTGACAAGAATGACCCCATTATACCACAGGGACAAAGAACAGCTAGCTGCTCATCTCCAAGTCTGTGGGGAACAGATGAACTATGGTTTAGCGGGGAGGGGTTGTTCTGTCTTGTTGAATTGTGTGTGGGGTTATTTTGATTTTTGGTTTTTTTGTCTGTGCATATACACATACATATGGTATAGTTTGATAAAACTGACGTTCTTATGTTTCATTGCTTTATAAAATCACACCCCATATACAGTCATCATTAAAATTCACTCATGGCCAGTTCCAAACTTAGAACCTCTAACACTGTAAAAGAATGGCAAGGAGTTATGGACCCCAAGGTAAACTTCAAGAATGGGTCAATCCTGACATTACTCTGTGGAGTAAAAGCACTCAGTTCTGTCTAGTTCTGCCTGAGAGATGACTTCCCCAGGAGTACTGTCACTCTATCACAAATAGGGAACACGAGCTTTTCTTAGCTTTGGCACTTTCTGTTCCCTAGAAGCGTTTCTGACAGGTGGAGGCAGAGATGACAGTGAGTGACCCAAAATGAATCAACAACCCCTAAATGGGCCAACAGAACACCCTGGGATCCTACCCAGGCCAGGACCCAAAGACCAGAAGCTAAGAAGTTTGTCAGCTATGTGGGTCTTCATCAAAGTATAGCAGCACAGCCCCCCTTCCTCAAGCTAAAGCCCAGCTTTTGGGGAGAGGAAAAGAAGGGAAATTGGTGCAGGTGAAGGCCATGTTGCCTCTCAAAGGCCTGATTCTAGGCCACACCTCACAATATAATCAGAGCGCAGAATATAATCTCACTTTGAAAATGAATGGCACTATTTTAAGAGTAGAGCATCTTGGGGAAATCCAGGAGGCCTGCTCTGAAACTTTAACTCCAGGATGTAAAAGCCACACCAGTATATAGGTACCTTCTCCTCTTAAAAATCTAGATGAGTATTTTGGTTTTCATGCACCACACAAGACATCTTTAAAACTTTAACTGCCTAGTATAATGCATATGTTAAGTAGACTTTAAGAGGCCCTATATCCTGAGTGGGTTAAACGATCATTTATACCTATCTTCATGAAATATGGTCAATGCTAGGTTTTTTGAGTGATATTTGAGATTAAACATAGAACCAAATTATGTTTCACATAACTGTCCAAACTGCCTGTACACATACAGACTTATGCAAAAGCCCTGACAGAACTGTATTTAGCCTTTTATATTAGGTACATGGGGCCATCAGCACACCCTGTGTATCCCACCAAAGGCAATAGCAGCAACTTTCCTGTTTCAATACAATTATAAGCAGAAATTATATGATGTAAAATAGAGGACCTTCCATAAAGTTTAAGATTTAGGGTAGAAGAAGGGTAGACAAAACCAAAATTCCCATGAAGTCAAAAATAATTGCACTTTGGTATTGAACTCCATGAACCTTGACATAAACTGTAGTTCTCATACTCTCGTACTTGGATCTGGGTTCATCAAAACCCTTCAGTATGCTTCCAACTGGCTCATCATCATCTTCCTGCTGTATTCATAGGCCAAAAATAGTGCCCCATTGGCAGGGAATGCACGAATCATAGTAGCTTTCAGTCCAGAGTATAAGGCTGCTATTCCTTCATTTCTTACAATACTTAAAAGGGTTCCCATAAATCCTGCCTGTTTTCCAAGCATGGAGAGAACCTGAATTCTGGATTTAATACAATCCACTGGGAACACGACAAGCCAGAGACAAATTCCAGCAACTCCACCACTTAACATCAAATGAACAGGGCCTAGTTCATCTTTTGATCTCCCTGATGCAAAAAACGATCGGCTCAGTTCATAACCACCGAAGAAGAAGAAATAGCCCGGTACTTCTTGCAGTAGAGTGCTCGAGAGTCCATGGTAGAAACCTAAAGGACCATCCTTTTTAAGGATATTCTTCACAACAGACCAAATTGTATTATGACTCCTTGGTATCTTCCCTGACAACTCCATCTCATACATGGTCTGTAGCCGGCACTTCACAAGCTCAGTGGGGCAGAGCGCCAGCGCAGCAAACGCGGAGGCTAAGGACCCGGCAGCTGCAGTGTGCAGATCACTCAGGTGTGCCTGCTTGTCCAGTCCAACTACTTTCCTGACAAACTGTTGGCAAAAGCCGTAGCACATGAAGAGGACAGAGTTCTCGGCGACGTAGGCGATCAACGCTGGGCCGGTTCCCTTGTAGAAGCCCCGGAAACCCACTTGGTTGTACGTCTTCAGGAAGCAGTCGGTGAGGCCCTTGTACAGGTCGGGGAACGTCTGCATCTTCACTTTTATTGTGTCGAAGGGCTGCCCTGTCAGTACACAAGCTGTGCCCCCTGCGGCCCCCGCTGTGAGGTCGATGGCGGCTTGGATACCAGGACTGGACTTCATGTTCGCTCACTCATCTGCTGGTCCCGGTGGAATGCAGCTCCCTCTCTGGAGTGCAGGACCTGCGTCTCACGTCCAGTGGCAGCGAGCACCGGTGGGGAGTGGCTCCGCCGCCTGCTCTTGGCTCTCACGCCCCGACAGGAGACCGCTTAACCCCACGCTTGGCGGCTGGTCGCCCCGCTCCAGCCTCGCGGCTCACTGAAATAACCCCCGGCGGGTGGCCTCGCACGCAGCTCACTAGGTCCTCGCGCCAGGCCAGGCCCCTGCAGCAGCCCGGCCATCCCTGTGCCTGCGGGCCAGAGAAGCAGACTAAACAAACACTTTTAGTGAATTGTAATACAGCCATTGAAAGCTTTTCGATAAATTCTTGCATTTATGGCCAGAGACTCCAGGCGCCCTATTCACCTGGTAGGGAAAGAAATGCTTTCCCATTCTGCCAGAGTCCCCAGTTTATTGCTATGCAAAATAGAAGATGCTCTCAGTGGCTCAAGCCTAGACTCAAAGGGTCGATCTACAGAAACAGATTTTTAAATTAGAGAAGACAATTTGGTGGTAGCTACTTGAGAGTCGGTGGCTGCTTCTGATCAGAAGACCCCCAGCGAAGTACTGCTGCTCCTGACTTGGGTGTGGCGCCATGGAGGCCTGAGCCCGGCAGATGTGCTACTCTGTGCCTGCAAAATGCACATCACCAAGAACCTGGGACTGCAAGCCCTGGAAGCTGGTGGAACGCGGAGTTCTTACCATTTCTAGAGGTAGGACACAGCATTTTACAACCGACTTTGAAAGGAGATATGTACATACTTCTAAGAAACTTGATAGAAAAGAGCCATGTGGCCCCAGTGCTCTATGCTTGCTGTGTTTTGAGGTTCTTGCTGAGGACCCACACAGTTTTATGTAGTGGTAAAAGTTTGGAATATAAATGACATGTTTAGCTTCCAAGGCGACAGGCTTGTTTTGGGCATTAGTAAGGGTACCGCTGTCAGAGCACACTTTTTTTCTCCCAGATGTTCATAATCCCAATGTAGGAACAAATTCTCTCCAGGATTATATTCTAAGTCCTAGTCAATATTTTACTTTGGAGGTATAAATAAATAAATAAATAAATCTGGGGGGCTAAAAGTATGCTGAAATGATTATTTCATTTAGAAAGCTTTCCTCATCTGATTATTCTTGGCTGTTAATATTTAAAATTGAGGCACTGAAAAGCTGATTGTGCATGCATAGTTTGTCAATAGGTAATCTTCATTATAGCAAATAGTGACCTGGCCTTCGTTTTTTGGTTTTTGTATCTGATTATTCTTGGCTGTTAATATTTAAAATTGAGGCACTGAAAAGCTGATTGTGCATGCTTAGTTTGTCAATAGGTAATCTTCATTATAGCAAATAGTGACCTGGCCTTCGTTTTTTGGTTTTTGTTTTTTTTTTGTAGAATGCCCAAATGTCAGTATTTGGAGTTTTCTCTGGAACCACATGATTTCTTTAGAGAATAACCTTCCAATCTTGATTCTGGTGGGTGGGGGTTCACCAAATCAAGTGAGAAAGGTAGGTTATATACCTAGATACTGATTTAATGAGAACAAGATCATAAAAGAGGGGTGACATTCCTGCAGTAAGTACACAGATTTGCAGATAATTTCCTTGTTTGATGCTGTACACGCCGGCCTCGTCTGTGCCTGCTTTCTCTGAGTTTGAGCTTTCTTTGGTTCAATTTATCCAGAAAATAAACTTTCTATCTTTTGTGAGATTGGAAAGACTTATCTAGCTTCATAGGATGGGATAGAGATCCTGACATCCAAGAACTCCACACACAGACTTCAATATAAATCTCATGTCTCTAGCCCCACACCTTCCCTGAAATCTCCTGCTTGCAAAACTTTTGCCTTTCACAGGTTCTTTATCAAGTGGGTTTGTCTCTCTTTGGTATAACCCCTTGCAGACATTTAGCATGTAACTTTCTCTGATCTCTGAATTCAATTATCATTTCTCTATCTGCTCTGGTCTTCTGAAAATGGGTTGACATCTCTCATGACATCTCTCATGTTTTTATTTCACCCTCAGGAAAGACAAGCAGGAAAAAGCATATTTTAATACTTATTATGAAAATCCTATCAAGTTATCTAGGTATGCATTAAAAATTTACTGACCACTGATTAAGTGTCCATTAATTACATCTAGTTCATTATTTATTTAAAACACACACGCACACTGAATCTATCAAGAGGTGCAAGATAAGCAATCAACTGCTTTTGCATTATGTTCATTTATACATTTTATAGAAACAAAATGAGTAATCATCTCAGGAATTAGCATTGGAGCTTCAAGCTTTTCTATCTAAAAAATTCAAAAATTTGTACTGTATAATAATAACTACACTTATATTAGCCATTTTAAAGATTGATACAGGTAATTTCATTTGTGGTTGAATAAGCATTTAAACCACGAAAAACATGCATAAAATTTGAGTAGTTTACTGAGTGCTAACTATATTCAAGGCATTATGTTATGCAGTATATTACTGCACTAATTACCAAATGGTAGCATAACATATTAGTTAGACTTTGCTACAGTCACCTAATATATATTAAAAACCTTTCTTTGAAGACTCTTGAAGAATAAAATAATATATTGTAGACATGCATACATGCTGAGTCAATATTGGACTACAATTGTTTTGTTTTCAATTTTCTCTCAAATTAGTGCAGTAACTTTATACTCTGAATTTAGCTGTTCATCCATTAAGGAAAGAAAAGAAGGACATCTAATCTTTCCCATTTGGCTTTTCCACAAGGAGATACTGTACAGATACTGCACACATCCTGGGCAAGGGAAAGAACAGGAATTTTTAAGAAATAAATATGCTACATTAACCATACACCTGCTAATAATGGGAGTCAAAATACAAGCTTCATATAGGAGAACTAAATTGAAGTAGAGATGCAAGAGAAATTTGACAAAGTTTCAGAAAGACCTGAAAATGGCTGAATTGTGATACTCCCCCTGCAGTGGGCTTGAAGTGCTGAACAATATTCCTGGGACCTTGCGTGCACCTGAAATGAGACAAGTCTTTCCCATGAATAACAACCATGGACTTCAGAATAGCACTGTCTCAAGACATTGTCTCTTAAGGTAGAAAGCATTTCATATGAAGGTGAGAGAATGGAGTCATATGCTACAATGTCATTACTAATTATGAAGAGACGTATGGTGAGTGTATTAGTTTGTTTTCTGTTGCTTATAACAGAATACCTGAAACTGTGCAATTTATAAAGAAAATGAAGTTTATTTCTTATAGTTTTGGAGGCTGGGAAGTCCAAGGTCTAGGGAGCACATCTGGCGAGGGCCTTCTCCTTGGTGGGAACTCTACAGAGTCTTGAGGCAACCAGAGTATTACATGGCAAGAATTGCATGAGCAAGAGAGTTAAAAAGCTCACTTGCTCTCCTTATAAAGCCATCAGAACCACTCCCTAATAATCCCATTAAACATTAACTCATTACTCCATGAATAGACTAATCCATTCACGAGGGCACAGACCTCACAATCCAATCACCTCTTAAAGGCCTCACCTTTCAAATACCATATCAGGATTGCTCACCTTCCTAACACTGTTACAATGGGGATCAAGTTTCCAAAACACATGAACTTTTGGGGGACATTCAACCCATGCCAAGGCCTCTTAAATTTTGAATAACTGTTCAAAACCCAAGCAGATACAGTAAAAAACCAAGTAGACACTGAAATTCTAGTTATCAGTGACACAATTCATATGTGGTCTTACAGAATCACTTAAAATTAATGTAAAACTATTGCCTGACATGAGTTTCCAATTCAGGAATACTTGAAACTCCAATATGGGAATACATTCTCTTCGAACTATAATCTGAAAAGCAATCCTTAGTTTTCCCTAGATATGAAAATTAGAACAAAAAGAGAATACTGTATAGCTAATCTTAAAGAACAATTTAGAAAAGGAAGAGCAATTCTTTCTTCATCTCAATGTGACCACCAGAGATGAAACAGTAAAACTTTCAGCTAGAAGAGCCCACAAAACCATAACTTAAGATAAATGTAAATGACAGTGTCCCAGTATGTTCCTGTTCCATTAAACAAAGCTATTTGAAGGAAAATATTACATTAAAAACCACACTCCAGAGTGCATTAATAGGAAATGGTCTATAACTTCATTGAATTGTCAGACATAGTTACACAAATAGTAGAGACAGAGTTCAAGTTCCAGGAAACACATTTGACTAGACAGCTGGACTTGGAGAGAACAGAACCCAGCATATGCTATAACACTGCCCAAGACAACAGGCAATCTTAAGCAACTGAAACCATTTTTTCTTAATTTTAACTAACCAAAATGATGATGCTTCTGTTTCTAAGCACATCCTCCAGAGCATACATACCAAAATATAATGGCAATAGAGCTTCCAACTTTTTAGTGAAGACCACCACCCTTGACAAGATTGAACATCTAAATGCATCACATGCTCCCTAGCAATTACACCGAGTGGCAGATAGGGTTACAAGAGAAAGTAAGGTTTCAGCTGAGGCCTGAATGACAAAAAGCTAGCCATTAGACTATCTGAAGATTTATTTTGTTTTATCAATATACAATGTAGTTGATTTTTGTGTCCCTTTACCGATTCCTCCCTCCCCCCTTCCTCTCCCTCTTCCCACCCATCAACATATCTGTTCACTTGTCTTAATAAATTCAAGGAATTATAACTGTTGTGTCTTCTTCCCCACCCCACCCCCATTATTTGTGCTCCCTCTTCCCACCCATCAACATATCTGTTCACTTGTCTTAATAAATTCAAGGAATTATAATTGTTGTGTCTTCTTCCCCACCCCACCCCCCTTATTTGTGTATTTATTTATTTTTAGCTTCCACAAATAAGTGAGAACATGTGGTGTTTCTCTTTCTGTGCCTGACTTATTTCACTTAATATAATTTTTTCTAAGTCCATCTATGTTGCAGCAAATGGTAGAATTTTTTTTTTTTTATATATAGCAAAGTAGAATTCTATTGTGCAGATATACCACGTTTTCCTTATCCTCTCTTCTGATGATGGACGTTTGGGCTAGTTCCAACTCTTGGCTATTGTAAATAGTGCTGCAATAAACATTGGAGTACAGGTATCCCTTCAACATGATAATTTCTATTCCTCTGGGTATATTCCCAGCAGTGGAATAGCTGGGTCATATGGTAGATCTATCTGTAATTGTTTGAGGAACCTCCAAACCATTTTCCATAAATGCTGCACCATTTTGCAGTCTGACCAACAGTGTAGGAGGGTTCCTTTTTCTCTGCAACCTCGCCAGCATTTATCATTCTCAGTCTTTTGGATATTAGCCATCCTAACTGGAGTGAGATGGTATCTCAGTGTGGTTTTGATTTGCATTTTCTGAATGCTGAGTGATATTGAGCATTTTTTCAAGTGTCTGTTGGCCATTCATATATCTTCCTTTGAGAAATGCCTATTCAGACTTCTGAAGATTTTTCCAGGAAAAGAGAACTGTAAACACTAAAGCTCTGTGGTGGGAAAGAGTGGGGTGTTTGAAGTAGAGAAAGAAGGCCAGGGTGGTTGCTGTGGAGTGAACAGTTTTCCCAGTCTGTGTTTTCACTTAAGAATTCTTACTAAAGACCATATACATGAATGTTTATTCACCTTTCTGTGGAATAGCAAATATAAAATGGAACAATGTAAGTAACCATGAATAGGGACATGGATAAAATTAAGAAAAAAAATCTATACCACACAGAAAAGCAGTAGATATATATGTTGATAAGGAAGGATACCCATAATATATTTTTGAGTGATGAAGTTGCAGAATAGTGTTTATAACAAAATCATATTTTTTGCTATACAGAACTACACATATGTATTTAACGTATTACAAGCCAAATAAAGGCCTGGAATAATACATATCAAAATGATAAGAACAATTTACCATATAAAGTTGATGTAAGAGGGAAGCCTTTTTTTTTTGTAAAACTTTCTTTAAATATTTTCAAGGAGTCTTTTCTTATTTTTGTAATATTTTAAAACACTAATAAAAGTTTTTCTTCCATTCATGAACCCAGAAACACCAAAAACTGTTGTCCAACTATACACCAAACTCATTAGTCAAGGGAGCTGTGAGAAAAGTGACTCTTTCATGGTAACTTGGGATCTACTTAAGGAAAATGGGTCCCAATCTTCGGTAAAATCTTTCCCTTTTGAAATTTATATAACAGATAATTGCTCTCCATTATGAAACCTTTTAATATTAATGCAAAGCTATCTGTAAATAAATCAAATAAATAAACAATACAGTAGCAAGCTGAGTCAATGTTTATGCTGTAGATATATATGAGGCAAACTCTGTTTCTGCTATAATCTAATTTGTAAGATTTGATTTAGAAAATTTCTTAAATTTGAAATGTGAACCACATTTAAAACAGCTGTTTCTTTATAAATGCTCTTCTACCGTTTCAGTCACTCTTTAATTCAAATAAAAATTTAATCCCATCTTGGTCCAGACCCTAGTGAATAGGCAGTAATAACGTTTGCTTTTATTATTTACTATATTCCAGGTATTGTTCTAAGTAAGTCTTTTATGATTCAGCAGCCAACAACCCAACAGCCCTATGAGGTAGATAATATTATCATGTCCACTTCAGAAATGAGAAAACTGAGGCAAACAGATTAAGTTACCTGCCAAAGATCATATGACACTGAGCTAGTATACAAACCCAGGCACTACATCTTTTGACCATGAGATTTTAATCTCTTTACTATTCTTTAGTAAGTTTACAGTGACTAACAAGCCAAAGTCAGTGAATTTGCAAACTAGTGGGGGATATGAGCAACAGGTCATTTACACTTTAGTATGTTAAATGCATAACAGAATATTTGTCCTAGTATAGAATGTATGAACTTATAAGACTAGACTAAATGCTTAGTTCAGTACTTCATGTCCAGTATCTGGTACTGTATGGCACAATAAATGTTTGTTGAATGAATGAATGAGAGAGAATAGCACAGAGTACAGGCAAGGGTATAATAGGATTGCTTAACCTAGATGGGAGAAGGTCAAGAATACCTTGTTGGAAAATTTAGGTTGAGCCATGAGGGTTAAGTAGGACTCAGCCAAACAAAGGAGGCTTCTAGGTGGAATGAACACCATGTTAAAAGGATCAATGACCCAGAAGAAGAAGAGTGAGTAAAGACTTTGAAAAAATATAAATAAGCTCAGGATGGATTGACCACAGTGATGGGATGTGATGAGCTGAGGCTGAAAAGGCAAATGCAGCACTCAAACTCTTGTTGGATTTTCTAAGAAATATAAACATAATCCTGAAAGCAATGATGCACCACTAAGGGTTTTAAGCATGGGACTGACAATTATGTCTTAGATCCCTTCGGTGGCAGATTAAAAAAACTAAATTGGATGGTAAAGAAAAATGTTTATATACACACACCAGTTAGGCTGCTACTGCCATTTGCTAGGCAAGAGAATATAACAGCTTGAACTAAGACAGTGCCAACGCAGATGAAGTATAGTGACTGAAGAATTTTTCAAAAAGTACTATCAGCAGTGAGGGAGAAGTCAAAGTTACGGTTCAAGTTTCTTGCTTCAGCAGCTGGGATGGGTGGTAGTGCCATTTATTTTCACTGAAACACAAGAGGAAGAGCAAGTTTTCAAGAAAAGGAAAAGGATGAGTTCCATTTTGAACATTAGAGTTAAGTTGCATGAGGGCTATTTCCCAATGTGTACTTCGAAGTACTTCCAGTACATAGCTGAATACACTAAATCTGGGGCTCAGGAATCAGGCTTAGAAATGTGGACTTTAGAAGCAGCATAGTGCTAATAGCTGAAAGAAGAGTAGCAAAAAAGAGACTATTGTGTTAGTGTATCCAGCATCTTTCCTTTCCATTACTGATGGCACTAAGCCATCATTAGTGTTGAGAATTTGGTAAGAATAATTATTTGGTAACTGATCCACTGTAAAGCCAAATATAGTGTCTTTCTAAGTGTCAAAATATATTTATAGTGTCCAAATATAGAGCTTTCTAAGTGTCAAACTTGTAAGTGTGGCAAAATACCTAGATGTACAAAAACAGGAGAATTTGTCACCTGCCACCCTAACACATTAAGAAAACTTGCTTTTTATTATTTGCAAATCTCAAGAAATAATCCAAAGCCTAGAACCTGAGAGAAACCTTGCTTAAGCTTCCTTGTTCTATATTGAAATCTTAAAGTTGTGACAATATTTTGGTAAAAGAAAAATGATCAGATGTGGGAAAAAATAACCTTCCTTGCAAAGTCTCCAAATATCAGCATTTATGATTAAACACTGAGGTCTGGATAATTTATTTTTTTAAACATTTCACCATTGTCTCCTGTCAAACAGAAAATTAAAATGGGCTTTAAATGTTTACTTCGTGAGGCTAATATTTTCAAACAAAAGCTTGTTTTAATAAACCAGTCAGGAATGAATTGCATGCAACTCCGCATCTTGTAAATTTTTACCAGTCACTGATTTTTCAAAAATAGCTCAACTGTTAGGCATTAGATCATCTTAAGAGCATGGAAAATTTTAAAGAATATGAAAATTATGTTTAAGAAATTTTGAAATACCAGACTATGACACTGGCTTCCTACATGAGTAATTTTGATAAAATGACATGGATAAATTACTTCAGCTCTTGGAATATTACAAATAATTGCATGAATTAAATTGAAAATAATTAGAAATATAATCTTAACCCAAAACAATGTAATGGTTCATTGGACTGTACTTAATAGCCATTGCTTTGTTTCCAATATTTTATGCAGGTAAGTTTAGTGCTTTTAAAAAAAAAAAATAAAAAGGTACGGACAGAACTTCATCTACAAAAATTAGGGTAGTTTAGGGAGGCTCTATATCTCACGCTTCCCAAATGGAGGAGGTGGACTGGAACCTTAATATAATGCAGAGATGTCACTTCCCAATTTCTTTGCCCCTCCTGTATTGCTTTTTCTTAAAATTCAGCATAACTGCTTCTTTACCTGCAAAACAGGATCAAATTACTCAGTCATTACACTCAACCAAGAAACCACAGAGGATCTGACTCCCACTAACCATAAAAGAACAAGATACATTATAAGGTGAAAATTAGTTGCTTTTATTTATTGTTAGAGACAACTTTATGAAATGATTTACATCTCTACATGTAGGAAATTGCTGCTGCATGGGAAAACATGCAAACTAGCTTCACTATCCTCCAGACTAGGTTCTTCTTATTGATCTCAGACAGCATCACAGAGCAGCAACAGCAGCTTCTGGCAAATGGAGAAAGAGTTATCAAAGTCCTGCAGTAAAGCTATGATTACTATGGTTGAACTGTTCATTCTACTAATCCTACAACTTTCCTCCAATCATTTTTCTGCCTAAACAATCCTACTTCCTGTAGGATGAACACCTAGCACAGTGGTTCTGAAAAACAAATGAGATAATTCAACAGAACTTCTAGCATTAACAAGAATAAGAACTACTGCAAAGTCTTAATATCCAGTCTAAGTGAGGAAGCCAAGGTTTTTCTAATGCTAAACTAGTCTGAAGATTGGAAATAAAGAATCAAAGTTCTTCTCACTTCTCTAGGAGTGATTCCAGTTCTTCTTGCAAAGAGCTGAGCTGCTCCTTTTCTCGATCTTCCTTTTGCTTGAGTTCATCCAGCACAGCCTGAAATCTGTTCTTGAGAGCCAGGTTTTCCACTTTCATGATAAGATCCTCCTGTCGTTTTGCCCTGTCCTGGGTCTCTTGGAGCTTGCCTTTCATGTTATCAATCTGTTTCTGAATTCCCATTACCAGCTGACTGGTTCCTTCATTTTCTTGGTGCTGTTCATCTGATTCATTCAGCTTGTCCTGTAGCTGTCTCTCCAGATCTTCCTCAGTGTCAATAATGTTTATATCTTCTTCATCCTGATGCTGTGTCTCATCTTCATCTTCACTGCTGCTGCTGAGGTCATTGAATATCTCCCGAAGCTCATCATGTTCTAATGAGTCATGGCCCTGCCTGTGACCAGACATTCCTGGAGAAGAGATATCAAGGCCTTGATTTTCTGTCTCTTTTGTTTCATCTTCAGCAATTATTTCCCAGCGAGTACTAACAGCTTCAGCATCTGTACTCAGCAACCGCTTCACTTCTTTTTCCACATCTGGAGACTCAATATACTTTTTCTTTGCTGTCTTCCGGAACCTTCTCTTTCTGACATTTTTTAGAGGCAGGGTAATTCCATGGTTCCAGATAAACTTTTTCTCTTTATCCTTATCCTTTTTCTTGCTTGCTTTGGGATCAGTAGTAGCAACTGGCTCCTCCACAGGAGGATAGAGATCACCATCAACTGTGGATACAAGCATCTGACAGATATCAGCTGTCTTGTAAAAAGTTTTTTTATCAATGGTTTTCAGGCTTTCCATAACACACGGCAGATCTACCAATTTTGAGGCCAATGGGACCCGGTCCACTCTGACAATTCCATGACGCCCATCAGGGTGTAATTCAATTGTCAGTCTGTCTTTCAGGTTGACATGGCCAGACTGTACTGCCCTCCTCACAGTAGAGGCATATTCCGGAGGTAGGCGTAAGATAAACTGGCTCTCTAGTTCATGAGGAGCATCATCTTTGCTTTTACTCATCTTTAGTTCTTTGTGATTTTTGTCTTCTCTAATAAACACTTGTTGCACTAAAAAGTTGAGGTCACTGCAACAGTTAAAAAGACCAGTTTGTTATGAACTGAATTCTTTAATTACAAAATGTTCTAAGTAGAACAGCAGCTAAGCGTCTGTTCGTCTTAATGTTTAATTATATCCCCAAGTCTTTTCTCCAAATATGCTGTGACTGAGTACCAGTCGTTACTGACACATTAGCTTATCTACAAAGTACTTTTAAATCTATTAGCTGCAATGCCAAGTTCCGACCTCTAGGTGCCGCTGCCGGACAATGGAGACCGAGCTGGCTAACGAGCGAGCAGGAAAGCAACTGGCGGCTCCTGCGGAATGATTTTCGGCACAGAAAGTAAGGCCCAGCGGGCACTCCCAATCCACAATGTCTCCCGGAATAAAGATATTCAAAAGGCGAGGCGCAGTGAGCCGCTCCTGCGGAATGATTTTCGGCACAGAAAGTAAGGCCCAGCGGGCACTCCCAATCCACAATCTCTCCCGGAATAAAGATATTCAAAAGGCGAGGCGCAGTGAGCTCTCTTCGCCTCGGGTACTTACAATCCAGTGACGATTATAAATTCAGCTTCTCCGGGCCGGAGCAAACGGAAGAGAAAGCCGCTCGGAACAAAGAGACGGGGCGCCAAGCGTCTCCTTCTCGATTCCTTTGTTCTTGCTGCTGCTTGACAAAGTGATCCGCTACTGTTTACCGATGAAAGGGCCCAAGCCTGGTAACGCGAAATCTCGCCGAGATCCGCAGGTCCGAGCGCCAGATTCGGCAGCTCAGCAGCACAGCAAGCCGCGGCCCCGAGCTGCGTACCTAGCGGAGAAAGAAGCACTTCGTCATGGCACGGGGCGGAAGTGATCTGTGAGTGACAGCACGGCCCAGGCGGAAGTGCGGGCAGCCCCGACGCGCGCAGGCGCAATCGCGCCATTACGTTACTCAGCGTGAAATTCGTGCTCTCGCGAGAACTTGCCTTTACCGGAGGAAAACGAGAATGTTTCCGGAAGAGCCATAGGTTTGAGATTAAATATTTACAGATGAAGGGTCTAAGAAAGACATAGATCCGCCCCCCTCTAAACCAGCGCTTTTACCGGCTCGCAGTGGCGCCGGATAGCTTCTAGGCTTCCGTGTGATTACCGGAGATAACGGCGTCCTTGCAGACACATCTCGTATGCGCTCCAGAGTATGTCCAATCTGGTGCCAATACAAGAATTTATAACTATACAACTGATTTTATTTATTTGTTTGTTTATTTTTTTTTTATTTTTGGCGGCCGGCCGGAAACAGGGATCGAACCTTGGATCTTGTATACAATGGATTTTAAAGTACCCAAATCAATGAAGCGAGGAGGACATGCTGCCCAGTATATAATTTTAAGCCTGTATTTTATTAATTATGAAAATGTTCGGAGGGTAACCATGCCTCTGAATTTCTTTCTGTTTGGGAGGACTTCAAGGGAACGGGGGTGATTCCTCTTTTTAATGTGTTTGGCATAGATATAAATGTGAACAGAGAAGTAAGTTCATCTGGAGGCACGGATTCACTTAGAGCAGAATTGTCTGATAGATGGTTCGATGAAAGTAGAATATAATGAAACTATTATTCCCTGCCTCTCGCATGCCAGTAATTTCTAAATTACTTTGGAATTATTTTTATTCCTCCTCTACTATTTTGCTGACTGTTTTCTCCTTGTCTCTTCTATGGATAGTCAGGTATTCATCGACACGTATTTATAGTGTTTTGGTTTAACTTTGTAACAGTTTCTTCTTATTTCTGTTCATTTCCATTTATTTTTTAAAAGGATCTGTTTGGTGGAGCATCAAAGATCAATTAATATTTAATTTGTATCCTCTAAAATATTAATAACTGCACCTAAATTTAAGAGAACGCTCTTAAAGTGTGATTAACATTTCCAAAATTATCTTTTTTCTTTATGTACTTGTTAATTGCCTTCCTTACCAGATTGGGAGCTCCATGATAAGGATATTTTCTGTCTTGTTCATCATGTCCTAGTGACAGTACCAGAACATGGGAGATACACACACAAAAAAATTTGCTAGTTGAATGAAACAGTTGGTCCATCTAGGAATATGATAAGGATATTTTCTGTCTTGTTCATCATGTCCTAGTGACAGTACCAGAACATGGGAGAGACACACACAAAAAAATTTGCTAGTTGAATGAAACAGTTGGTCCATCTAGGAAGAAATAAATGTAGTCTAGATTCTACAATAATTTGTAAGAGAAAATACATGATGTGTTGCCTTAGAATGAGATAGACCCATTTGGTATATGCTGATTGTTATGAGGCAGAGAGGTTTAGTAAAAATGTGTGTGAATGTGGTTTAAGTAGACTGTGATACTGTATTGTGGGAGGAAATTAAAATGGCCTGGAACCAGTTTGGTTTTTTATGTTAATTCTAAAGGAGAAGTTATGCCCTTCCAGATAACTGTACATTATTTCTCTGTGCTCTATAATGTGTTGAAGAATGTTGGCTGATTCATCTATGATTTCCAGGATGATCTATTTCCTCTTTTCTGAAGATGAAATTGTTTTAGTTGTCCTTTAATTATACCTGATTATACTTATTTTAAAAACAGTTTAACATGCTAACCTCTGTATACTGCTTTTTTTAACCATATAAAGTGTGAGATCATGCTTACATGTGAAAATTGTATTTTAATTCCTTGAGTTTTATGATGCTCAAATATCCTTGTAACAGAAGGTAACTGGGGATAAATTCTATGCAGTTCTGACTTGCTAAAATGATGATGTATTTTAGTTAGTAAACCTGTAAATGGAAGATTGTCAGATGTAATTAAAAGGATTAACTAAAGTTTTCCCAAAGTATCTACCTCCTTCAATCCTGAAATATTAGCTGCTTTTGAGTTTAACACATTTTCAAAATGCTGTTGGGAGGTGGGGGGTTATATTGACCCTAAAGCTAAGGTCTCTGCCACATCGTCATCTTAATGTCTATTGATAAATCCAGTTGGTTTCTTCCCCAAATCCATTAGGCATACGGAAAAACACTAAATTAATGAAAGAATTACACTCCTGTGGTTGTTCGATGGAATAGCTGTGATACCAGTGAGCCAAAGATTTGGGGAGAGCAATAAATTCCCCAGTGTCACAAGTCTTCCAAAGAATTCCTACCTATGCTAAAGGAGTTTGACAATGAGGCTACTGCTTATCCTGTATGTTTGAAAATTCTGTCTAATAAACTTTCAAATTCTTTAAAGGGCTACTTATATTTTGTTTGTTTGTTTTTTCCTTAATTATTATTATTTTTTCAGCAGCTGGCCTGGTACAGGAATCAAATCCCAGACCTTGGTGTGATTAATACCATGCTCTGACCAACTGCATTAATCAGCCAGCCCCTAAAGGGCTACTTATATTTTGGAGATTAAAAACACTACAGGTGATGGGTGAAGTTCTGCTTACATTTTTGAGGTAGAAAATTACAGGTGTGAGGAAATAGCAAACACCAAAAAAACTCAAGCTTATGTATTGCTGTATCACCATATATTTTAAAGGTAAAACGTGGGCTAACTAAAAATATGTAGCAGTATCCTGTATTAAGTAGGATGCTTTCTGTAGAAAAAAAACTCAAAACCTAACTTACACTTCTTTAAACAATAAGAAAATCTATTATCTCAAAAACCAGGTAGTCTAGAGGAGCTCTGTCCAATAGAAATATAATGTGGGCCACAGATGTGAGCCACAAGCGCGATTTAAAATTATCTAGTAGCCACACTAAAATGGCAAAAACAAGTGAAATTAATTTCAATAATATTTTATTTAATCCAATATACCTAAACTATTATGATTGCAACATTAGAGTATAACCCAATCTAAAAATTAACGATGCATTTTACATTATTATTTTGTACTAAATTGTCAAAATCTGGTGTGTATTTTACACTTACAGCACGTCTCAATTTGGACTAGCCACATTTTAAGTGCTCAGTGGCCACATGTGGCTGGTGGTTACTGTATTGTACAGTGCAGGTCTTAGAAGTATGACTGCCCCAGGTGTGATACAATCATTCCCTGGCACGAATGGTTTTTCTCTTACTAATTTTGAAGAATGGGTATTTATTTATACTTTTTGTATTATTCTTTCAGCTCTGCTGTCCTCTCCTTATAAACTTCCAAAGACTGTGATCACAAGATACCTGCCAGCAGTAATTGGGGAATTTCTGTTCCTGCTCATGACAAGTTAAAAGAGTGGCTTTTCCCCAACCAGAGTCTGTCTTTCAATTCGGTTGGACCAACGTAGGCCATGTACCTACCCCTGGCTCAATAATACTCACCAAGTAAATACCCTAAGCCTGGTTTTTTTTCTTTTCTTTTTTTCCAAAACGGCGGAGGGAGGTCACATGTGGTAATGTCTGGAGACATTTTTGATTGTCACACCTGTGATTTCTTGAGTAACCATTTTTCTATGAAAAAGAAGTTTCAATAGTATATCATCTTCAAAAGGAAATGTCAAGAGGGAAAATTCTGTAAGGATTCTTGTTTTAAGTCAGATTTTAATAAATTAAGACGTTTGATTTAAGCTTTGTGGAAAGACCATTTCATTAATATTTTGTCAAAAAGGTTTGCACTTTTTATACTAAAGCAGCTGGTATTCTACATTAAGTCCCGGAAATAAAGCAGATAGGACTTTCAGAAATAATATGCGGTAGATACCACACTGGGCCTCTGGGTGCCGCTGTCGGCCAATCCGTGGCTAGAGTGAAGCAAAGAGATCCACTGGTGATTCTGACGCAGCCATCCCTGCAGGCTTTTGAGAAACGCATCAGGAGAAATTCTGCACTTTTTCTCTTCCGCAGTGTGTTACAAACATCTGGGTCAGGCACGTCAGGATCTTTAATGACCTGAGTGAGGCGCTGCCTTTTCTTGCCAGTGCACCTTTGTAATCCGGGAGCGGGGAGCAACGGTAGCGAGGGGTATTGGATGGAGAAGAGCAGGGAGAAGTACTCCACAGGGAAGGCGTGCGGAGCGCAGGGAGCGCCTTTTCCCTTCCTGCTGTCTTTGTTCTACCGAGAGAACTACGTAGCCCATACTCTGAGATTCTGGAAGAGAAAGGCTACGGGTTTAAGGTGGGAATCTCGCTGAAGATCTGCGTCTCGGTGGCCAGAAACTACGGGTGAGTGCTAAGAAGCCTCTCTACCGCCAGAGCCAAAGAGAGCAGGGACGAATTTGACAATGACAGGATAGATCTAGCAAACACGCCAAAGGAAATCCCTAGGCCCCTTGAATTTGATACCACTGAAAATCGTATCAATGTTTTTCATATAAAAGTATTCATCCTGGATATAAATGATAACATAATGGCTTTTAGCACAGACATTTTGTTTTGGAAATTCTGGAGCAAGGTTTACTCAAATCTGCAGTAGATTTGGACGCTGGCAGTAACTCTCTACAAATTTATCAGATTAGTTTCAATAATCATCTCCCCAGCCCCCCCAGTACAGGACAGCACTAGAGCAGTAAATACCCTGAGTTGCTATTGAAGAAAGCCTGGACCAAGGAGCAGAGCTGCTACCGCTTGGTGGTGGGGAGGAGGCAGAACAGCTCAGGGCAAGATACAGACCTTGAATGGCAATGCCAGTCCTCGGATATTGAGCCACAACGTGTACAGCAGAGTCAGCCTGCAGGGGAACTGCCCTCCACCACCTCCTCTGCATTCTTCAGGAGATCCCATTGACCTAGATGACACACTTTCCACACAATCTCACAGGATATACAGAATATATCTACTGTCAAATGACGGAAATACTTGATTTTGAAGAGTAAAAGTAACAGAATGGAATAGAAGAGAAGCATAAAGG